GTGTACTCAATTATGCTACTCCTTTCTTGTATTATATTTATGATTAATACATTTAAATATCTAGAAATTTACATCACTGTGATTTATAGCATTTTAGATCGTGGTAAATATACAGAACAATGACGAGAAAAGCCTTCTCAATCCTTTTCTCCTTTCATTATCGTCCTTATCATCTCTTTTGAGTCATTATAGCTAATTATATTGCAACGAACATCTAAATAAAAATGAATATATGATTTATACATTTTTAAATAGAGAATAATTTTAGATTTGAAACATTTTGATAAAGTAATTTTTTAATTAGATTCAAAAATGTAGTTTTAGTTTTCCATCTAATTCAACGTATCGTTTAGGGATGAAATAATTCCGTAAGTTAAATTTCCATTTGATATAATTTAGAGAAAATTGTTATTTCAAAATTTTTCAAGGCTTGATGCGTTAAGATTTCTGTTTTCTTTGAACATCATTTTATACGTACTATAATTTTTGCAGTCTGTGAAACTAAATTTTAGGAAGCATTCGCGATTTAATATGTTATCGTTTTCGCTTCTTTTTCTTCTTAATTTCTTGTCTCTAAGCAATTAATGGTATTGCAGACGGCGGACGACGGTATTTTTGGAACCATCAAATTGTCGTGATGGTTGACGCTATTGATGTATCGGGTCTTCCATCTAATGTGCGCGAACGCCTTGCTGAGCTTGATTTAGAATTATCAGAAGGTGAAATGTTTGAAATTGTAAGAAACATGCAATGTTATTATCTTTATTAATAAAGTTTACTTTTTTCTGTTTTATCCTAATCGATAAAGTTATTCAACTGTCTGAAGCAAATTGTTCATGAGAACTAAACCATAGTGAATCACTTTATGTGGATTATATTGACAGCAGCCAAACCAGTTCGTTTGATATGTGCTTTGATGGTTTGATTGTTGATGATTTGTTCGAAATGTTTGATAATCATTTGCTCTTTTTAGGCGACATCACTCAAAAAGGATATGATAAAAAAAGACACGTATTATTGGGACCCTATTTACGAATAAAAAGAGATGGTACGGTTTTTTTAGGCGATGAAAAAGGATTTGTTTACTAACGAAAAGCTTGTTTCTGCTAGTATTGTTCACAATGTGCTAAAAATGTGTTAACGTGAAACAGAAAATGTAAATAAATTCAAAATTATCTAGTAAGAGCAGTATTTGTTTGAAAATCACTCAAAAATATGATGAATAACATCCAGAAAATGGAATTTTTTACAGGTAACAAAGCCACTTCAAGTCCAAGCACAAGAGCGCAAAGGAAACACCAGCGGCGCCTTACACGTGATGAATCGCGTTTTCATTCTGGTATTCTTTGATGGTATATGCAACATAGTTGATGAAGTTTTGTGTGATACTTATTTCAATAAATTTGTTAGCTTCATCCGATAGAGTATTTACTGATGATTCTTTAACTTTTGGGCAAAATTTTTTGATCTTACTAATACAAGATTGTCTCAATGAACTATTGCCGTGACGTGAAATCGTGATTTATTCATCAAAGACAATTTTTAAAAAAAGTATCTAATTCCAGTCAGCAATTCATCTTTTTGGGCTTATTTACTTGTCTGCTCACTTCATTTGCAACTCCTGTTGAATTATCATGTCCAGGCAGGTTAACAAATTGGTAGTAGACCAGTGGGTTGGCTGGACAGTTTTCTTCCATAGATAACAATGTGGAACTTTTTTTATGATTGCTTAAATAAAGTCATGTCTAATTTCATTACGTTCTCTCAAAAATTGTGACATGAATGAATGAATAAGCTTCTCAACATGCCACAATTTTATCAAGTCTTTGGGTATTTCCATAATCTTTTTTATTAATCAACAAATTACAAACATCTTTTAGAAATACATGCTGAAGCAGTGCAACAAGCATTGGCTGAATATTCTGCAGGTTATCTTTCAGTAATTTTTTCAATAGAGAATAAAGACAAAATTAATATATAGAGCAAATTGCTATAAAGGATTATGAAATAGAAAGAAGTGAAAGAAGATCGTAAAGAATTAATGAGTGTTGCTTTATCTTACTGATTCTTTATTTGCTAGCAATAGCATTAATAGCGAAGACATCTGTTCAGAATTGAAAGAGAGAAAAGGAGAAAATAAAGAGCACTGAAATAGTATAAAATGCTTTTGTTTCAAAATATTATAACATTTCCCCAATTTTGAAGGGAAAAAGGAAAAGCCGAACATTCTGCCACCCGTAAAACGACGTGGTACTGAGACAAAACGAGAAATAAATCGAGCGTCTGGTAATCTTACATTTTTTTTTAATTTACTGATATCCTGAAAATTTGCTGACTACGAAGATTCACAGAGAAAAGTTTGGCTTTTGATTTAAATGTAATCTCTAAATTCTTTGGATCTTCTGATACAGTGTACAAATAGTGTCGAACGGAAAACTGCACATAGTTGTGATTTGCTATTGTTGCGGTATCGCAGTTCCCAATCGAAGATTTTAAATTAAATAATTAAGTATTCTTATTTGCCTTGATAAAATTGATACAGATAGCAGTTCCGAGGATGATAGCATGTTTGGTAGTACTGATCGCAGCAAGGGTACATCGTCAACGTTGTCGTTAAATGAACAGCGGAAGAAAAGTTTAACCAATGGCTCCGAAAAATCAGGTGAGGTATTCCTTCTTAACATTTTCCTTCTTACTAGATGTGAGTCAGTGAGATATAAGTGCAGAAGAAATTTTTTCTAAGGTATAATTATTTTTTATTTTGATGACAGTTAGTACGAATAATGACAGCAGAAGTTTTGATCCGTCTTTTTTAAAGAAATGTTTAAATTCCAAATTTTAGATGCTTCATCTTTTACTCCACCTCCTGATATTACAACCGCTGTGGCAAATGGAGTTGCAGTGCGAAAAACATTCCAAGACCGAAGAAAACAAGTAATATTGGCATGCCAAATAATACATTAGATGCTCAAATGCTTTTAATTTTATATATTTATTAGGCTTACTGTCTATAAAATGTTTGAAATGAGAATTCTTTTTTATTCCAGAACATTATTTTAGCTGATATTACCAATGAGCACACTTAATGTTAGTTTAATGTATGTGTCGTATCATTTATAGTTCCATGTAAATTTCAAAAGTTTTATTATATCTTTTTTTGCCCTCCAAACTTTGACAACGGTATGAGAGTTTCAATTAACAAAACTTCTAAACTAGTTTTTTTGGTTATTTAACTTTATTAAAAGTAAGTTGTTGTATGTACATTAACTTAAAATTATTATTTTCAAAATTATTAGTGCAGAGGCACCCCATATTTTCAGAATACAAATGATAATGACTGGCGGGACGGAAAGGTTATAAAAGAAAATGAGCGGAATGCCATGAAGAAAGTAACGGATACAGAGGAAGCTGTATTGAAAACTAATGTCATTTACGCAAATGATGTTGCAGAAAGTGATACAGCTATAACAAATATAGCTAATCAAGATTATCAGAATGCAGTTGTGCGTAAGTTAATTTGACATCTCTCACATATGTAGCGATTCATTTATTGCTTTCAATATTGACAGCATTTTAGCAAACGTAGGATTATATTCGTGTTGGTTTTATTGATAAATGATATGAAATTCAATCTTTTAACTTCTAAAGCTCTTAAAAATTAGACACATCATTTTTGAAGTTTAGCAACTTTAATTTATTGATATTATATAAGTTTTTTATTGCTTTATTTATTGATTTTACGATAAGTACTCTGTATTTAATTTATTGGTGTTATATAAGCTTTCCCAAAGTGCATTTTTATTTATATCCATCATGCAGTTTTACTATCACGAAGAGTCTGGTTGCACTGAGTAGCTAACAGTTCCTATGTTGTATGCTTTTTTTAACTGTGAAGATTTCCAATTGATGAAAAGGTTTTAATTTAGTTTCCTCGTTATCAGCGCTGAAACCGGTCAGAGTTTCGTTGAAAATTCAACAATTAGTACATTCATTGCAGGTGAGTCAATTTGTGTTTTGATTTCATGCTTGTATCCACTCTGACGAATTTCGTCGAGAATAGAAAGTAGACGAAAGAGAAGGTAGGATGCAAAAATGATAGATAATCGCTATAAATTTCATCTTTTAACTTCTGTTCCACGAAGTTGCTTTTCTCTATCATTTACTGTATTTGTTGCATTTTATTAAATTAACAAATCCGACTGGCAGTTCCTTAAATTTTTATATGTTATTAAATTTGATTGGAATACTAAATTACTTTGCCAACTGTATCTTTTATTGCGTTCAATATCACACTTCGCTATATGTAATGGCAGAGCAGTATTTGTTTAATCTTTATAATCTTTGTTGGACCCTTAAAAAGTTTTATTCCTCTACGCATAGTGGATTAAACATTAGCAGAAGAGCTAGTATTAAATAAATCTGGTATATGTTAATTTTGAATTCTTTAAAAATCAAATCATCGATACCAAGAAAATGGAATTTTGAGGCATCGAATATTTATTCATTTTTTTGTTTCAAATTAGTATATTTTGCATAGTTAAACTTCTTGTTTACATAAATTTTAAAGTTTTATCTAGGATTAAATATTTTTCCTGACAAATTTGCATGTTAAAAAGTTCTGATAACGATGTAGAGTTTTAATTTTATGACATAGACCATACCATACTGATTCAGTACTTATTTTCAAAATTTTTTTTCATATATTAATTAATTTTGTGCTGTGAAAAATTGCTTTATGTAAAATAATTTATTACTGCCGAAATTTCACAGCACATCATTGGCTAAATTGTTGACTGATATAAAGTTATAATTTTAAGTTATTATTATATGCAGCACTTTTGATGATTAATCTGCGGCTATAAATATGAATCGCAATGATTCCATCCTTCACTGCACCTAAACAATCTTAAGCACTTTATTGTATTAAAAAACTTTATGTGTTCTTATCTCTATCAGTTATTTGTTATCAGTCAACTATGATTTCCACGATTTCCTTAATTTGGTTTATTTTTAATTGAGAAAATAAAAAAACTAGAAACAAATTGTTTGATATACTGTTATACTCTTTCTCAATTCCTGTAAAATGCAGTAAAATGTGAAAATAGTAATATTTCTAAGTTGAAAAATAAATATAAGGGTTTTGAACGTGCAGTTATGGTAATATTTGTTAAAATTAATTGCAAGAAAGAAGAGAAAGAAGCAAGGATAAAATTAGTAATTTATCTTTTTTATATTGTAACATGCCGACTTATATTTATAAAACAGAAAAAATGTATATTTCCGAGTTTTTCTCAGTTTATTCACCTTTAGATGCTTTGAAAACAGACGATAGTATTGCTAACCATGTTTTCATCTGTCAGTTTTCTCCCGTCATATGTAGTATACTCCGTTTGATCTCTTTTTTTTCGTATACAATTTCAATTTTTTTCTGACTAAGAAAAGTTAAAAGTAGGATGATATCTCTATAAAATCTTGAGAAGTTGAAAGAACATATATCTGCAAAATCCTGATATTATATGATACATATATAAAATATAAAGCACTATTTTAATATATTCGCTCGTTAAAATTTGTTCAAATTTTTAATTTTTTTTTCATTATTAAAAAATCTTATTTTTATTATAAATTTCAGAGATGACATGTAATTTTTTTCTTTTTTCTTTTCATTTTGTTTTATGTTGCATAAACTGATCGTTATTACGGGATTGAATGATATGTAGTTAGTATTAATTTTAACATAGCATCGAAGAAAGTCAGTAAATGCAAATTGTAAGAAGTGAGATGAATAGCTGAATAGCTAATGTTGATATTATAGCTTAGTAGAATTGTTTAGAATGATGAATAGACGAATTACGATTTACATTTTGTTTTCATTTTCTTTGCTTTTTTTAGTTTTGTTTTTGCTTTTTCTTTTTTTGTTTTCGTTTTTTCATTCTTTTCTGT